CATCATGCGTGCACAGAAAGAATCTAAGCGAGAGAACTACAGAAGCACTCTCTGAATATTCTGTTTGGTACTATGGAGTAGGGGATATGCAGACTGAAAATGGAAAGGGTCCTAAATGTCGCTGATATCAACAACTGAGGGATTTCAATTTATTTTCAACTATAAGTCAGTGTTTGTATAAGATTTACACTACAAATTTTATGTCGGGTCCAGAATGATTTTTGATCTGATTTCCGATAATCAAAATTCTTTAGGAACTTTTTCATGAGCGAATAGAGTTAGATAAATATTGCTCTTGTCAGAAAGAATTGCAAAATTTTTGCTAATCTTGGATTTAAAAAGTCCTTTAAATCACCGAGAAGTAATGTACGCCTGAGAATATCAGGAAGTTAATTCGAATTAACGAAACAGTTTGATCGGACATGAAAATCGATGCCTACAGGTGTTTCATCAGCACATATGGAAGTAACGCACTTAGTCTGGAGCAGAAGCTCTCACTGTGACTTTTGCTTGTTGGAAAAAATTTGCTGACGGCTCGCTAAGGTTAGGAAACTACATTAACTTTCACCTGCAAAAAGACGCAGTGCTGTCTGTGGAAAGTGCCAGTAGCGATGGGAGCGATGCATTGTCAGACTGATGTGCGAAGAAAATATGCACTGCGCCTGCAGCGGACTTTACACGGACAGCATCTGTGTGTTTTTCTCACTGTTACGAAAATGGTGTGCAGCATGAATTCTGTTTCAGAAAAGTCTGAAGTTACAAAACACCATCAGAAAAGTAATTCCCGTAAATCAGCGGTGAGCCTAACCGAAAACTTTTTGAAAGTGGAAGAGGCAAACATACGTTGCTTATCTTCAGTGCTCTGATCATGCTTACCCGGTTGAGGCTCTTCGATCATTTTGGTCTTCGACCCCTCAAATAATGAAGATATTATTAAAACTCGAGTTGAAAATATCAAGATTACAGGGGTCGTTTGAACCAGACGCTTATAATCTACTTAGATGCAACTATGTGCTATAGTTTTTTGTGCTGAATTATTTGCATTCAGCTTCATTCTGATAAGACAGATGTAAAATGTTTGTTTTTTCAAGTCGTGCTTTCTCGTCTGCCCATTCATAACTGTGATGGCTTTCCATGCAAAATCTGTCTTCATAATAGAAATAATAAAATTGCCAAACTGTTAACAAAATTTATTAGGTTGGAGCCCTACAAACCTGCAGGCTGACAATGAATGTAACAAACCGTTTTCGTAACTTTTGCTTGCAGAGGTTCAACCGACACTGCAAATCAGCAGATGTAATTAATCATTCAATGTATAGCAATTGGAGCAGCCACGCTCGTATTATAAACGTGTTTTTCTTGGTTTCCGCACGGTTTGAAAAACACGGTCTGGATGTACATGAGTAACTTGCGATAAGTTGTATGCTATGAAAAACGGAGGTTCGTTTGACAAAGTCTAATGACATTACCTTTTTTTGGGTAGTTCAATGAGCAATTCTGGACTAAGCAAAAGCAAAAGTTCTTGAAAACTGAATCTCAAAAATTAAAACTTGTTACGAAAAAAATCACGAACATACGCTTCTTGGTCGACAAAACATTTTCTGCTATTCAATCCTGCCTTCAAAATCAGGGGAGACATAGGGGTGACAAGGTCATCGCTTGTCACTCAGACTTTTTGCTGTGTCTTGGGGCTATACTTCACTTGTTCGATTAGAAGCATATTTGTACATCAGTGGCAAGCAGCTAAACTATTTACGCATCGTGAATGGTACGTAGTTGTCAGCTCGGCCGGCGTATGTGAAGTAGATGTGATGTTTAATGGGCTCAGTGTATGAACTGGAAGAACGAGTCCGAAACGCATGGAAAGCGAAAGCAACACAGAGTCCAATAAGCACGTAGTCAAACTGCATTTGGCAGAAGTTGCCCTTTAATCAAATCTACCAGGAACAATGTGTCACAGTTTCGAGTCAACTGCTCAAATTCCATTACATCGCCCGCTTTTTCACAATGTCGATCGAGAAGCGCAATGCCCACCTCTTGAACACCATTGTGTATAAAATAATGATACATAGATAACAACCCCGCTATTAAGAGCAAGTGGCTGCGTCGGAGAGAACGTTGGAGCAAAGAGCACTAAGAGCACTTCTTTATGACAATGCAAAAGCATTAGAAAGTTCCATCGGGTGAACGACATTCACATATGTGACTCAGGACTAAAGGGGTTTACGTCGATCTTGGCATGGGGTGAATCGGAGTAATTCTGTTAGTAACAGATCCGCCCATAGATTATTCGGACGATCTCGGGGATCATGGATGTATTGGACGACGTGTGTCGACTGTAGATTCGAATTCACCTGCAGCCGAATTCGGGTGCCTTCAATTTAAACAAGTCCCGAGGTACTCTTGCGCGAATTTTAGCAATCATTGAAGAGCGAGTGCGGTTGACTAATGCGAAAGCTAAAGGTCCACGTAGACGACAAAACAGAGTGCAACATGTTTGGTACTTTTTGTCAGAAAAAAGTGAAAAAACTGACAAACGAACATCTAGGTTAGTACCAAGCTGATTATTAACTAATGTAGTAGATTCGGCCACACAACCATAAAAAATTGCTTTAACGGCTTGGAAGTGTATTAGGACGAAACGGCAGCTGAGAGAAAGAAGCACGAATAAAGTGTTTGGATGAAACCCGAACATTTAAAAATTTTTTTAAAAAAGCAGGTGATGCGCGCTGAATTCATCGTCCGAGCCTACCGATATAAAATACCATACTTGATTTTGTTTCTCGCTCATTTGATTTCCCCTTCGTTTCAGCCTTGTCATCTTTTGCTTTTTCTTTGCCCTTGTCGGGAGCAGGTGCCGCCAATTTATCGAAGGTCTGCGGCTGCGAGGGAGGCGCTGCGGAAATCTGTACTTCAGAAGCTAGCATCGGTGTTGCAGGCTCAGTCCCAGGTGCGCCGGGTACCGCAGCATACATCTCACGGCTTGACAAACGTTCATGAATCCGATGGACACCTGATACAGAGCAACGTTCAAGCATACAAGTCATAGTTTCATATAAAAAGCAATGCTACATTTGTACTATTCAAATGAAATTGCATTATAAAACGATCACAGGGAAAGCAATCAAACTGTGTATGCATGTTTAAACAACAATGACTAGATAAACCCAGGCTGCAAAGCGCCAGGCTTGCCGGTACAATTATGAGTTTTTGTGCTAAGCTTGCAGGCCGCTAATAGCGCGAATGGCTCCTACCGTGCACTTCAACACTACTATAACTCGGCTCGGCTCGGCCAGCATTGCATGACGATCTGCGAACGCTCTGCCGTTACCTTAGCTTTTCGGCTTAAAGCTATTTGCGGTATCGCTTGCCGACGCCGTTTCATACTTTGCTATAAGCGCTGCGGAGTGCTACCCAGCGCATCACGGTGAAATGAGTGGTTAGGGGGAGAGGTGCCTGGGTGGGGGGAGGTCGGCGTGGCCGAGGGATAGCAGTGGGTGGGTGTCCAGATGCAGCTCCGGAGGCATGGAATAGAGCAAGACACAGGAGAGGAACAAGAAGGCTAGTGAGGAGTACGGAACGATTAACGGTGAAAGTGGCTGAGGGTTGGTGAGTGATGTGTACCCGGATGCCACTATATAGGCAGGATAGAGGAGGACAAGAGTACTAGTCAGGAGTTCGAGGCAACAACCCGTGACATTAGTAAAGAGAAAGGACAACATAGCAGTACAAAAAAAAAACTAAATTAAAGAGAGCTTGAAAATGTGAAAGCAAAAGCGAGAAAGAGCGAAATCAAGCAAAAGTGAAAGCTGAAGGAAGCAAAAGCAAATAAAAAGTGAGAAAGCAGAGGCAAAAAACAAATAAAAAAACTTAGCAAAAGGAAAACTTATGGTGAAAATTGCGTTATAAAAGCCCGGCTGCAGTATTGGGCTTCCCCATTTATGAAGCTGTTGCTTAGGTAAAGCTGAAAGCTTTTTCTTACTGGCTCATTGTTTTACCTAAGCATCAGCTTCATGAGTGGGGAAGTCTCCTTCTGATGGTGGGTTTTTATAGGACAGTTTCCACTGGCACAGACTGAGTTTTTTTTTTTTT